AAACTATTTCAAACTTAAAGTAAAGATCTACTTGGCCGATTGAACTGAAACTTTGTAGGAATGATCGAATCATGGTCCTGACAAAGTGTTGTTATTTTTCGGGTCAATCAGAAATACAATTTGGCTGCCATGGCCGCTATTTTGCTACTAAGTTCTAATAGGCCGATCTCACTTAAAATTGGTCTAGGAATGATCAGCTCATGGTCCTGACAAAGTTAAGTTAACATTATACTATTTTTTACTCAAATTGGTACATATTTCAACAACAAAAATAAATACTATAGACTCAGGTGACCGTTAAGGCCCATGGGCCTCTTGTTTGTCTGAAGATTTTCTCCTACATTTTTTATAGCATATCAGCTTACCACTGTTAGAATGATGCAGATCTTGTTTCAATGTAAGAAAGTATATAACACTATATGGCATTCAACGGGCGTATTTTGTTCCTCCCCGCAGTACTCTTGTTTAAAGTCTTTGCACCCAAAGACACATTTTTTTTACAATTCAAGGTTCTTACATACTGCTTTATCACATCCTAGTTCGTAGGTCATCTCAAAGATGCCTGGAGCATCGTGGCAGGGGGGACTCAATTATGTATTTATTAAAGGTGGGTTCAACCTCCCCTTGGGACAGGGTTGGGGCCCAATAATGGAAATTGTGGTAATTTTTTGAAATCCTTCTTCTGTACCATTTAAGACATTTTAACCAAATTTGGTCCAGAGCATCCATGGGCAAAGGGGACTCAATTTTGTAGAAATGAAGGATGTGACCCCCTCCTTGGGAAAGATAGGGGGAGGGGGGCCCAATAGGGGAATTCAAAGTAAATCTTCAAAAATCCATCTCGTTCAGTATGATAGGAAGGATTAGAATTTGCCCCAGAACATCCTTTGGAAAATGGAGCTCAATTTGTATAAATTGAGGGTGTGGCTTTTAAAATCCTTCTCCTTCAGTATGATTGGGGGGGGGGGGGGGGGTTATCCAAATTTGGTTGGTCCAGAGCATCATTTGGCTAGGGGGTAATAATGTTTGAAATCCTTGCTGGGCTTCTCCTTCAGTAAGATCGGATGGGTTTTAAACAAATTTTATGTAGAGCATCCTTGGGGAAAGGGGACTCAATATCGTATAAACAGAGATTTTGGCTCCCTTTGGCAGAAAGACCTGGCCCAATAGGGGGAGTAGAGTAATAAATGTTTAAAATCCTTCTCCTTCAGTACCATTACCTTAATGGGCAAAGGGGACTGAATTTTGTATTAATGGAGGGTTGCTCTCAGGGGGGCAGAGGGCCGGGGCACAATTGGGAAAATTGAGGTGCATATTCAAAATTCCCGCCAATCCATGGGATCAGAAAGAAAGGCCCCAATGAGGGGCTGATGTTGCTTAGATACAGCCATTCTTTGGTTAATGAGAATATTTTCTATGGTTGCTCTATTATCCAGGTGAGCAATACAGTGCCCTCTTGGCCTCTTGTTTGTGAATACACGTCGGTGTCTATTTACATAGGGTAACAATTTTGTGATAAGATGTATTTCATAATTCAGTTTCTGTTACTTTGTTGTAAAATTACTGTTACTTTATAAAACATACCATTCACTTACATGTATTACTGTAAGACTTGAAAAACACTACATATCACTTGATTATACACTTACTATGATTGACTTTTACTTTGTGACAAAATTAACAGCTGAATGAGTCTCTTAATCATTGTTACTTTCAGGTGCTGGTGTCCCTATTTTTCACCGTACTTGGTGTACCAGTGAACAATGATTGTAAGATAACTTTGGATGACATTGACTCAACTAGTGAAAGATTGTAAGTATATTAAAGATTTAGTGAATCAATCAGTAGATTAATGCCATATCAGAGAATAATGTTCTGTTGAAAACTTTTTTTAGAGTTACTAAATAATAATCAGAGGTTTTCTATAGTATGAGACATTCTCAGTGGGAATTAGTCTTGATTTTGTTCTTTTTAATTACATTTCACCTTAACATTAAATTAATTCTATAAAATACATCATGATTACAGTTGTTTTGTTAAAATCTTTTAAATTTAATAGCTCTTTCAGTATCGTTGAGACTATTCACAGCTACAAATAATGTTGTGATGTAAGCTAGTTATGTACTAGTATTTCCTAACGTACTTCTAAATGCTATGGTGTAAATGTTATTGCTGTGTTTGCTAGTGTCACTGACAACTACACACTCGGGTTCTATTACCTAAGGTTTTCATTCCTTTTACCAAGAGTAACTTCTGTCTATTTTATTATTCCCCAACCTTTGAAACCAGCCGCTCCTCTAACCCTGAGCAGAAATATGGCCTCACTCAAAGAATTTCCTAATGAGAACAGCTAAAAAAAATAATCATACAAAGTAATCATTGTTAGCTCATCTGGCCCGAAGGCGTCCGGCATCAATATCTTAATTAAAAAAACTTCTTTAATAACCAAAAGCACTAGGGTGATGATATTTAGCCAGAAGCAAACTGGGATGAAGGGCTACCAAGTTTATTAAAATAAATGACCTTCACCCATATTCAAGGTCACGGGGGTCAATTGTCTAAAAAAAAACTTTGAACAACTTCTTCTGGATAACCAAAAGGTGCAAGATGATGATATTTGGCCCATAACATGATGGAATGAAGGGCTACCAAGTTTGTTCAAATAAATGACCTTCACCCATATTCAAGGTCACAGGGATCAAATATGTTCAAAAACCTTAAATGACTTCTTCTGAAAAACCAAATGGCCCAGGAGGTTGATATTTGGCCAGTAGTATGCTAGGATGAATGGGCTATCAAGCTTTTCATTTGAATGACTTTGACCCACTTTCAAGGTCACATTTGGTCATATATGTTTAAACATTTAAAGGTTAGGGTGGTGATATTTTGCAAGTTGCATCCCAAGATGAAGCTATAAAATTTGTTCCAATGTAATGACCTTGTTCGACTTTCAAGTTCACAGGGGTGAAACGTATTAAACCTTTTAACAGGTTCTTTTGAATGACTTATAGTCATAAATACTGATATTTTTCTTGTAGCTCTATTTTATATCACTTTTAAGGTTACAAGTGCACTTGTGAGATTAGTACCAGGTGAGCGATGCAGGCCCATTTGGCCTCTTATTTTAAAGGTACAAACATATTTTTGCCTATGAACTAACTGTCTCATGATTTAAGCCGATCATTACCAGATAGTGGACTGTTTAAATAGCCCATCACCCTTTGTCTATTTTCGGTCCAAAACTTATTAAATGGATTTCGAATTTCATATGTAGTTTCCCATTGGACTGCAGTTGTGCCTCCTTCATTTAAATACTGATTAGAAAAACCAAGATGGCCACAGTTCAAGTTTGTTATCTCTATTTCACAAGAAGTACTTACCAAATCCTACTCAAGTTTTATACATGGTTCCTGTTGGTCTGTAGTTATGCATATTTCATTTTAAGACAAATCAGAAAAACAACATTGCTACCAGATAGCAATCATGGATTTTGACAACAAAGTTTGGCTATATTAATTTTGAAGAACAAATTGACAGGCTTTGCTCAAATTTCATATGTAGATTCCCCTTGGTTCTTAGTTTTGAATATTTCATTTTGAGACTAATGGGGAAAAAACCAGAGGGCATCCAGGCACCTCGCAGCCATCTTGACTTAAATAATTCAAGACTGTTTTTGCTATTTCTGAAAATGTCCTTGACAAATCTTACGTCTCACTACCACAATTGGTACACTACCCAAATTGGTACACAGTCAGAAAATGGTTTGAATAGTACTTTAAAATTAAATTTGAGCATTTTCCTTTGACAGTTTAACAGAAGATATATTTATTAGCATTTCAGCTGAATAGTTTTGTTTTCAGGAACATTTTAGGAGTACATGCTGACTTCTAAGTACACATATTATAAAACCAGTAAAAGCAACATACGTTGACGAAAATTTGGAGTATTTTAAAGAGGTTAAATAATAAATATAAGCAGGTTTAAATGTTGATTTCTGGTCCTTTTAACTGGATTATATAAAAGTGTATATGTACATTTGTAGTTCAGTATGGTATTTATAAAAGCAATATGTTTTGTTCCAATTCAGAATTGGCACATCAACTTACTGTAGTAGAAATAAAAACAAGTTCCATAGCCTGTGATATGGTGTACCAATTCAAAAAACAAAATAAAAACAAATTAAAACCTTTTCTGAAAATGAATCACCATAGGTAGTCTTTGTCAAGAATCAAAAAACATTCCAGATACAAGATTACATTTTTTGATAACACTGAAAAACTGTCAAAATTCTACCAATTGTGGTAGTGTGATGTTATCTATATTTTGCATAAAAAAAGATTATTGCTAGGCAGCCATCTTTCAACAGTTTAAATTTGAATCACTATTTCTCAAGAAGTTCTCTAGAGATCTTTCTCAAATTTTATATGTAGGATTCCTATAATCCTTAGTTGCACATGTTTTTATATTGTTTTCTGACTGATGATCAGAAAATTCAGATTGCCACCAGACAGCCATCTTGGATTTTGAGAGTAAATATGTCCTGGCTATTTCTCAAGAAGTACTAGACAGGCCTTTCTCACATGTTACATATAGAATTGTCTTTGGTCCTTAGTTTTGCATGTTTTATTTTGATAATAACAGGGAAAAAAGATGGCTGCAAATTTTGATAGATTGAGCTTGTTAAGTTCAAGACTGTTTTTGCTATTTCTTACAAAGTCGATTTGACAGATCTTTCCCAAATCACATATACTATGCAAATGTCCCTTGCTGAAGTAAGTTTCTTCCTGTTTGCTTATTTTGAACTTTTTGTTTTGAGCTTCAAGTCCTTTAATCAGAAAAAAATATTGGTGCCAGACAACAGAAATGTTTCCTTTCATATTTACTCATTACTGTTTTAGTACATAGGTTGTACAATAGCCTAACCTAGAAAGGATATTGTCAAACCCAGCTGTAGGAAGTTTTATTCAAAATTCACCACAAGATTCATTAATCGTTTACTAGAGAGTCAATCCAACAGATAACAGAAAAGATCAAACTTGATATAATGAATATCTTATAATGGTGGGTGCCAAAGATATCTTTTTATAAACTTTGATAAAATTATCTCAGTCATAATCTTAAGGATTCCTGCACCACTGTAACTACACATCTGAAACTGTTTTCTACCATGACTATAGTTAATTTGCGGATAATTTGTGGGATTTTATAAAAAAAATGATAAAGATGAAATGATAAGGATTCAGTCCATGGACTTCAGATTGTTACACTATCTCTCTTACCAACCGAGCTACCTGGTCAACGGAAGTGTACCACCAGCCCCAAACAAACATTTTAGTAACACTTTGATTTCACAAGATTTGAATAATCTTTTTCAGCCTGTACACAAGAAACTCGGATGATGAAAAGCAGCGCTGCACATACTGTTCAGCAATAACAAGGACATCATCCAATGCTTTTATTAAGGCGAAGGAAGACCAGTGCGTGAAAAAAAACATAAACATTGATCTGGTTTATAATCTGGTACCAAACTGCAAGAACATGGACCCTATAAGTAAGTTAAGAATGATGTTGTCTGTGCACAACATCGAACTTATTAGTCCCCTACCGGGAACCGGGGGGGGGGGGGGGGGGGGGTGGGGACTATAGTTTTGCATCATGTCCTTCCGTCTTTCCGCTATCTTGTCAGGGCTCTATCTTCTACACTACTTGCCACTGGAACTTCATACTTTTATGTATGGGTTTGGTGTGTCATGTATCAAAAGTAGGTCTCTGACCTACATTTTGACCTTTGACCTGTATCATAGAAAAAGTTTGTCCGGGCTCTATCTCCTACACTACTAGTCACTGAAACTTTATACTTGGAGTATGGGTTCATCTTGCTGAGGCAGTGTGTCGTATATCAAAGTAGGTCACTCTGTTTTTGACCAGGTCACTGACACTATTCCTTATTGAATACGGTGGGTCTGTCAAACATTCATATATAGAATTAGTTCCTTCACAAATTTATCATCTGTACATTTCACATTCAGTGGAGGACTATAATTCGCCGAATTGTTTTGTTGAAAATGATTTATGTATATAATGAAACTTTATACACACATGTATCCCATTTGTTAAGTAAGGGTTAAGAGACTAGAACTTACTTGCAGGGAAATAATAAGAACTAGCTTTCAGGGAAATATATCTTTGGTAATACTAAATAATTATGCATTATTACTACAATGGGAATATTTTGCCATGATTGCTTAGATACCTAGGTGAGCAACAGGCCCCTGGCCCTCCTGTTTACTAGTCCTGACAATGCCTTAATTCATTTACGGTTTGCAAAAAAAACAACAGTTATTAAAAAGTAATCTTTTTAATTTTATTTTCCAGCCTGTGTTATTCCAAATCCTATTGAAAATGGAGAATGGATTTGTTCCTGTAGTGGAATAGGGCACGTTAAAAGTGGTGAGGTCTTGGTATATACAAACTGTACCCAGCAGTGTAAACCTGGCTATGAACTTGTTGGGGATTCCTTCGGTCACTGTGGGGAACGTGTGCCACATGATACAAATTTCCCTACAGAGTTCAGATATGGAAATGCGAAATGTAGCAAAAGTAAGTCATTACCAGGAGAATGCATCATTATGGCCATTTTATTTTACAAGATTGATTTTTACATTCAAACACCTATTAAGTTCACTTATTTTGATATATTGTGCATTTTTTGTGTACTCTATATTTGTATTGAATTTGTAACTTTTAAAACACTTATAAGCAGTTTGACACAACATGGAGATACATGTATATTTCTAAGCAAGTTTTTGTAGCTAACTAGTTACTGATATCGCTCGGACCAAGTGTTATTATTTTTCAGGTTGATCAGAAATCCAATATGGCCGCAACGGCTGCCATTTTGAAAAATATTTCAAACTTAAATTCAAGTTCTGCTGGTCCGATTTAACTGAAACTTGGTAGGAATGATTGACTCATGGTCCTGAAAAAGTGTTGTAATCTTTCGGGTCGATCAGAAATCCAATAGGGCCGCCATTTTGAAAAACTATTTCAAACTTAAACTCAAGATCTACCAGGCCGATTTAACTGAAACTTGATAGGAATGATCAACTCATCGTCCTGACATTTTTTTGTTTGTTTCCGGGTTGATCAGAAAACCATTATGAAAGCCAGGGTTGCCATTTTGAAAAAACTATTTCAAACTTAAAGTCCAGTTCTACTGGGCTGTTGGAACTGAAATTTGGTAGGAATCATCGAGACATGGTCCTGGCAATGACGGCTGCCATTTTGAAAAAAACAATATTTCTAACTTAAAATCAAGTTCTAATAGGCCAATTTAATTGAAACTCTGTCTAGAAATGATTAACTCATGGTCCTGACAAACTTAACTTAATGTTATACTTACTACTTTTTACTCAAATTGGTAGGGATGATTGACTCTTTATCTCCACTTCAAATTTCAACAACAAAAATAAAAACTGTAGGACTCAGGTGACTGTTAAGGTCATTGGAGTGTATTGATAAACGGAAATAGGAAGTACATCCCTAGTTGAAAATCCAATGTAGGGAGACAGTATCACAATTTCCGCATTTTCTAATGTTTAATATTATTCTGATGAATATTGTATGTTTGTTATTGACAGAACAGTTTGTTCTCTCAATATTAAAGTATTTCAAACCAATCCAGGCATTAATTCAGTTTTTTTTTTATCAATGAGTCACATGTGTCCATTTTTCTGTACTTCAGGAAACCGGCTACCTATTTCTCTCCTGTGAAGTTTTTCAAGAAAGATAACTCTTCCATGCAATTACTATGTGTATATGGTTTTATTATAAAGCATCCATTTTTAATCGTTTACAGATCATTTATTTTACACAATTTCAGCATTTATTAAATTGATATACATTAATGCAATACTAATCTATGGCAATATCATTTTTAGTGACATTATTTTTTTTATTTTTTTTTTATCAATTTATTTTTCCAACAGTTTTTCATAATATAGGTTCAGAACTGGTATTTTCATTTTCACACTCTCTAACACACATTTTGACACTTAATTCACTCATCATCAACATCATCCTGAAAGTTGTCGTCATCTTCCTCATCACCATCATCATCATCCTCACATTCATCATCATCATCATCAACGTCATTGTCATCATCCATACAGTGTGTGTCATCAGCAACACACCTCAACAGACAGCCACTGAACCAAACTGCAACATCATTTTATTAATTGGTACATTCAATATTTGCCATCAACATACTCAACAATCATGATTAACTTATTCATAAAGAGGAAGATCAGCATAACACTTTTTCTTTTTAATATATTATTACATGTATACACATTTTTATGACAGACAACATAATCCACATCATGTTATATTTTATTTCAGAACCAAATCATGTACTTCACTTCAATAAAAAGCATGAACAGATAAACCCACTCCTATACGCTTTCACTCACACACACTCACATGCACTCTATCTACAAAAAAATAAAACTCCTGTAATTGCTTTATCTGATATGTGTATAATATTGTCGAAAAGGAAGGAAAGAGAAATAAAAAAGAAGAGAGGAAAAAGAAAAGGAATGAATAGGCATAGATATTTTGTTGCAAAAAATATCATATTGATGAATTCTAGGTATAGATACCAGAGACAGGGATGTCAAACTATACTCATATAGTACTTAAAAGTATATTACCAGAACCAGCAAAATATATTGCCAGAGGACAGGGCAGTTTCAATAGAATTAATTCATAATTAACATTTATTCAAAATAAATTAGTCCACAAGCTCTATTAGCCGCATCCATTTTTCCCAGTATGCAGTAAATTTCTGCATATAGCATTCACCTTTAGCAGTTGCAATATAACTTTGTACAGTGTAATGGTCCTTGATTTTAAGAATTAAAGAGTTGTTATTCAACATTCTATTGTTACATCTAGAACTGTAAATGTATTGCTTAATTATTAAAAGTATTTCGTTATCGCTCTTATTAAACCGTTCTGTTTGTGTAAACAATCCTAATATGAAAGTGATTTTATTGTATTGGAAAGGAATTAGCAATGCATCTAGGATAGATTCAAAACTTTGCAAAAAAGACTGAACTTCTTGGCATTCCCATAATAAGTGCACTATAGTTTCTTCAACTTGATTACAAAAAGTACATAGAGGATTATCTGAGATACCTACTTTAGATAAAAAAGAATTTGTTGTCAGTATATGATGCGAAATTCGAAACTGAAGCCATTGTAGCTTTGTATTAGAAGTAACTTTGAAAGGGATTAGATGTATTCGTTTCCAGTTTTGGTCATTGATGTCAAGTTCAGCATTCCATTTAACCTGCCCCGTTGGAATTATTTTTCTATTTACCAGTGTGTTGTAAAAATGTTTTGAGCCTTTAGCAGAGAAAATAAAACTTTCCAGATTAACTGGAATATATGGAAAAGAAATTTTTAAAAAATGGCATCTCATTACCTGACATTATTTTGCCAAAAATTGTGTCTTTCATTTTTTTTTCAAAATTCACTCCTTTTTAAATAGGTTTCCATTTAAAATCCTTAAAATTCTGACAACCTATATTTTTTTTGTGGCAGAAAATTTTCTTTACTTCAAAGCAATATAACTACAAAATTTGAAAAAAAATCTACTGAGAAATGGTGACACAATCCTATTACCTTAAGGCTCATGGGCCTCTTGTTACCCATCCTTGTCTTCCTCCCATTCACTTTACTCTCTAGCTTTTTCAGATTTTTCCGTTTATATTCTATATATAAAAGGTCATTTAATACACATATACATCTGTTACAATGCATATGTTATGAACTTAACACAGACAACAGCATGGCTTCACTCAAGAACACTCAATTTTATTGCAATCTGACTGGTTGAAATTACAACAATTGAGGTGATACTAATAATGGACATCAATAATATAAAATCTGGAATCAATACAAAGAGAGGTCACTCGTGTTTACCTTATAGATAATTAAGATATGTGACAGCAATCTTTTTAGTTTTGTGCTAAAAATCTTAAATATGTTTTTTTTTATTGTTCAGGAGAAATTGCAGACCCACATAATAAAGAAACAGTGGCTATTATTGTTTTAACTATCTGTAAGTTCAACATATATTCATGTTTGTGTAAAAAAACAACCAATATTGCAATAAGTACAAAACAATGAGACAGAATAGGTGTAACTATCTATTTGATTTCAACAAATTGTATTGACAGATGTAATAGTAAAATGGATTGAATAGCAGGCAAGCTGTGTAACTTAGCTTTCTCCTGTAGTGAGCACTGAATTATATACCTATCACCTCAGCTTTTACAGGTCATTACTCCAGGTAATATGTTACTTCAGCATACAATATTCATTGTTCTGTCTAAAATTGACAAACTTGGAAAAACACTCTATTATTTGAAATTGTGAATTATGAGTTTTATTTTATTGTTCCTAAATTCTGAAAAAATTGTTCCATCCTTTGAGTTGTTTATTTTCTCTACTTTAATCAAGACGTTGGATTTGTTTACATCATCAGTATATTTTTACCTGGCAAGAATTTCTTGTTCTCGATCTTGTTTCTATCATCAATATTTCTAATTTACAGGTGTAGCTGTAATACTAGTTGTAGTTAATTTGGTATTGATATGCATATGCATGCATTGCCAATGGTGTTGCTTCAAAAAGGATCATAGTGGTAAGTACAGTAAATCATCAGCTCACCTGACCCCAAGGGCCAGGATGTAGATATTTGGTCAGTAGCATGCTAGGATGAAGGGCTACCATGATTGTTGAAATGGATGACCTTCACTCATATTCAAGGTCACAGGGGTCAATTGTCATAAAAAACCTCTAAACAACTTCTTCTGAATCACCAAAAGGTCCAGGGTGATGATATTTGGCCAGTAGCATGCTGGGATGATGGCTACCAAGTTTGTTCAAATGAATGACCTTCACTCATATTTAAGATCACATGGGCCAATTGTCTAAAAAAAACGTTCAAACATCTTCTTCTCAATAACCAAAAGGATCAGGGTGATGCTATTTAGCCAGTAGCATTCTTGGATGAAGGGCTACCAAGATGTTCAAATGAATTTCCTTCACTCATATTCAAGGTCACAGGGGTCAGTTGTCTTAAAAAACTACCAAGTTTGTTCAAATGAATGACCTTGACCCACTTTCAACCTAATGTCCTTATTCGACATTCAAGGTCACAGGCGTCATATGTTTAAATCTTTTAATAGGTTCTTATGAATCAAACACTGATATTCTGCCTGTAGCTGTATTTTAGTCCACTTTTAAGATTACAAGTGGGAGATTTATGCCAGGTGAGTGATGCAGGCCCATTGGGCCTCTTGTATATTCCTGTAATAGTTGTTTTATTATACATCAAACTGGTAAATGTATACGAGTATGTACAAGAAAGCAGTTATATGTAAGTTCTTGGACTCCTTACAGATCAAGGTATTGGTGCTGACATGGAAACATCACCACTTCAAGATAACGGTGAATCATCAGTCACAGGCACACGAGGTTCGTCAAACTTCAAGAATAATTTCATTTCCTGAAATTCTATTTTAATTACCTTTCTGAATTGTGAAAAGGTTACATAAATTGAAAACAGAATTTAGTTTTTAATACATTTTAACACTGATGTTTCCAGTGGTAGGTTTTTGGTTAGTGATCATTTTGGGTTAGAAGTTGTTTTTACAACCAGGTTCTGGTTTGATTTTCTGCAGGTCATCAACTTTTTCCATTCAAGAGATGATTTTTTAACATGGAAAATTACACATTATTACACTGATCAAAGTAATCTATGACAAATCCCTACATTGGTACCTCATTGAACAAGGATGTATGATTATATTTGTGGTATTAAAATACTATTTCATTATGAAAAGTATTTCAATCTCATATGTGAGCCATTTAACAGTATCTAATAATGTTTAAACAGAAGACAAAAATGTAGTGTGCAGTTTGGACCTCTTGTTTGAGAAAGAGTAAAAGATATGAAGTAGAAATGTCTGGAAAAGTATGTGATTATTTGCTGATTAAAATGTTTTCTTTCAAAGTTACTCAGACCACCGGATTAACTTCTCCAGATCGAGGTGCAAGTAAACAAGATAAGGAAACAAACTCTCTGCTGCCTGGGAAGGAAGATGCTGAAGGTTAGTGCTATATAGGTTTTGTATTTTGAATTTTAATTTATTGGCAAAAGACATCTTTTTCCTGTTGTACTAAAACAAATTGGTCAGCAAGTAGAATCCCCCTGCCCCCTAGAGTACCCCCTCCTCTAGAGTACCCCCTCCCCTAGAGGGCCCCCACTCCCTCCACCTGTTGTTTAGTTACTTAGTAACTAATTATTTACTTCAATTTACACATATGATACCAGTTGGCAGCTTAGTTTATATAGTTTTTTTCTCATTCAGAATAATTTGAACAGTTTTATCTCACTAAAACAGCTTTTATCACTGTATATATTCTGACCATAACAACCAAGGTAGTACGAATACTTGTTACTGTAGCACAGGACTGGTTGAAGAGAAGTTGGCATGGAGGCAATTCAATGGTGACCACATTCAGTACTCCTAGTCTTTCCGAGCCAAGATAACTACAGTCATTTGTGTGTGAGTTGACAGTTACTGTAGATAATTCCTATTGCTAAAAAGTTTTCAACAGCTTATACATAAGAACACTGCCAACATTAGCTTCTGATTCACAGATATCTTCTGTTTTTTTGGCTAAGAATTAGTTCATAAGTTGATAAATGCTGACATTAGTCATCAATGAGGTTCTACCCTTGCACTGCTGTCAGAGGGTCGTTTTGGGTATTTCCTACTCTCACCCAAGTCTGGATCAGACTGCTGAGGCTATTTCTTTAACAATAGAGTTGATGAAGCAACTGTTATTCTGCACTTTCTAGTTAGAACTAGAGTTCAAATGAGTTATGACTGGCAGTGGTTCTTGACTTGGAATGGGTAATGATGTAGCTATATAGCTTGCAATCATATCGCCTTATATTGGGGTGAACAAACCCGCTAGCTTGATGCCAGGGGCTTGTAGATTTTATGCCAGGGGCTTGTAGATTTTATGCCTGACTAGTAGAATTTTTTAATAAAAATGATCTTAAAGGTTCAACTATCACAAATTGTTAATCTCCAGATCGTTCACATGGTCCACTTTACTGAGAAAGGATTTTCCTACGGACTTAATCTGAGAATTCTGTTCAGAATACAATCACTTGGCTCGAGTCATTTGTTATTCAATCCTCAATCCTTTATACCATGCTTCCTTAGTTCTTCTATAATGCCACTCTCCCATATGTCTGCCCCTCCTCTGATAGTGCTGTTTACCAGAACACATTTTGAAGAGCTAGGAATATGAAATTCAATACATGGTCTGCAGATGTGATGTAGATGTGTCCAGTAACGACTAGCTTGAATAACCATTTCTTAGTCCAGTTCCTTTGAAAGGCAAGCACAAAAAAGCAGCACTTTATGTCAACAACAAATACCATAACACAAGCTAATACAGACAAAGTCATGTTACACAATCTTCAATGGCCGACATTGCACATATGCAGAGCAAGAGCACGATTCAAACTTTTCTACAAAATAATAAACCAAATAAATTAATAATAATATATTGGACAGCATTTGATATAGTGCCCTATCTAGCTAGAGGAAGCCACTCTAAAGCGCTTTACGGTACATAGATATACAATTTATACAATCAATACAATTTTGAGGAATTCGCAGGAGCTGCCATATCAGGCGCTAACTGCTAGTCCTATGCCACCTGTCTAATATCTCCCTATGTGTGTATGCCTGCATGTGTTGGAGATGTATTGTGTTCTGTTTGTAGTGGGACCGTGCTTCAAACATCCAACCCAGACCATTTTATACTCAACCTGGGTTGTTGGAGTTGTGTGGGCAGGAGAAAAACACTTTCTCTGAATATTCCATGTGTACAACGACTTTGGGGATCAAACTCTGGCCCCTTTTGTGGGAGGCTGGAGTGTTAACCACTCTACCAAACACTAACAATATCATTTCAGCCAACCTCAGAACACGACATAGACACAACCTTAGTTAAGGGCACATCTAATTGTACAATGGCACCTACAAACACTCCTTCTTTCTAGAGACCATGATATAATGGAATCTCCTTCTAACCACTGTCACCCAGTGCACAACACTGGGAGATTGCAAAATAAGCACCACATACAACATAATAGATGACATACACAAACAACATAACTAATTCATCAAGTTTTTAACCTCTTTATCCTATAGCAAAACACATGTACATGTAGCAAAAGAAAGTCACTGTGAATATTAATTAACTGAATGCTGCATCCCCTCCACACGTCCATTATCATCAGCAATGATGGGGGACTGTAACCAGATGAAGAAGATTAAGAAGAAACATTTACACACTTAACACTATCAAAGATCGTTGTTCTGTTGGTCCATTCCGTAATCTGTGATCTGTAATCATGAGTGTGGGAGGTATGCCTTTCTGTTGATCCTGTTGTATCAACATCTTGGCCAGAACTTTACCATTTAGGACAAGAAAGAGCACAGGTATCATTGCCCATGGTGGCCAGTAGATGTGGTGTAGGCAAGTGAAAATTTATGTCTACTTGCCAAACAGAACACAGCAAAATGGTCTATGGAATATTGCTGCACTATACTTGAATTCATATCGTACTGTTTTAATACTTATTAGCTCACCTGCCCGAAGGGCAAGTGAGCTTATGCCATGGTGCAGCGTCTGTCGTCCGTCCGTCCGTTGTCTGCCTGTCCGGCGTCAACTTTTTACTTTAAACAACTTCTTTTCATTTACCAATAGGCCTAGGATGATGATATTTGGCCAGTAGCATTCTGGAATCAAGGGCTACCAAGTTTGTTCAAATGAATGACCTTCATCCATTTTCAAGGTGTCAGAGGTCAAATATGTTTAAATCTTTGAACGACTTCTTCTGAATAACCAAGAGCCCTAGGGTGATGATTTTTTGCCAGTAACATGCTTGGATGAAGGGCTACCAAGTTTGTTCAAATGAATGACCTTGACATATATATCTGTTTAAATCCTTTGAATGACTTCTTCTTAAAAAGCAAAATGCCAAGGGTGATGATATTTTGCTAGAAGCATGCTGGCTTGGAAGACTATAAACTCTGTTCAACCTAATGTCCTTGTTCGACATTCAAGGTCACGGGCGTCATATGTTTAAATCTTTTAATAGGTTCGTATGAATCAAACACTGATACTCTTCCTGTAGTTGTATTTGTAGTTGTATTTTAGTCCACTTTTAAATTTACAAGTGTGAGATCCACAAGTGTGGGAGACCAGATGAGCGATTCAGGCCCATTGGGCCTCTTGTTTGATATTACTTTCTTTTGGAAAAAAATATGAGAGTATGAACATGTGTATGTATAAAAAATGATTCAAGTATAATATTTCAGCTTCAGGCATCTACCCTTGTTATACAAAAGCTGTTTTTAATGGCCATGTCCTGTCCTCCAATGACGAGTAAGAAGGATATATAATTTTATGCCAACACTCATTTTGTCTTTGTTTCTCTTATTTTAAGGCCTTACCATTGATTTAAAATCTCAAGATTGGAAGTACACCCCAGAAATTAGTACCGAGGTTGAGAAGTTGAGAAGGTGTGATTTTTCAGGTGAGAACTGATGTCATCAAAAACTATAAGAACTTACAACTAAATTATGGTCTTTTATATCAGAATCGTTTTGTGTCCATCCTTTTGTATAATCAGCTTAAATATATTCCATTTAGTCCTGAAAGGGGGTATTTAGTCAAACCATACAGACAAACAGTTCAAAATGACATGACCTGAAGCCAGCGTCTAGTATTCTCGGTTTGACATTTTTGGAAGGCCGGTGATAAAAATAGCTACGACCGAATGAGCGCAATATCCGGGCTTTTCAATCAGAAGTAAACATGTACTGTACCACACCGCTGTCAACTGACAACACAGTGTCAGTGAGTCTGACTTCACACATTACACAATACGTCGCAAACAAGAATCATAAATATCATAATATATAAATCTAATGAGATATTTCTGTTCACAGTTGGATTTGAATATAAAGAAACAGCTTTAATTAGGGTATGCACGCAAGAGGGCACAGTAGGGAGAATTTCAAACTGCACAAAGTATGATATCAGTAGGTTTAACTTAAAATGAATTACTCCTTTATAACGATGATTAAGATGTTGATTTGAAGATGCCATTGATTCAGCATAAATGTATGTACTTGTATTCCAAAGAAGTTAGGTGATTTAAGCGAGAATTTACAGTCTATCCTCGGCTGGAAAGACATATTTGTTAGTTAGAAGTTCACCGACAGCTGTCGCTAAAACATATGGTTGTACAGTTAAGGATTTCTTCATAACAGATTAAGAACGCCAAGAAAGCATTGTCTCTTGTCAATTTCTCGACATAAATTGTTCATAAGGATTATCAAACTGTATTATTATGATGAATTTTGTGACAAAATTATAAAAAAAAAAATTACTTCACTTAATTGTCCCTTTAACTTCTATTAATACATTACACTAAGAGCATGCTTTTTAAAAGTTCAACTTTTATTAGGAAAAAGCAGCAGGTACCCTGAATCACCATCTATGGATCCCAAGCTGCTGTCTGGAGAACCAATCAGTGGCCTGAGTACATTTCCAGAGATTTCATCAGTTGAAGACAAGATCCTCAACAAGGATGTCAATAGTAGGTTGCTTTTCACCTCGTCATTTGCTGCTGAATTGATTTTTTTTTTAGACTAATGAGTAATAGAAGTGAGAAAATGAAATAAAATGACACAAGGCCTTACAATGATTCAAACCCTGAACTGGAGACTGATAGACACTCTAAATGTAGATTTACGTGGTCACCAGGAGTCAACTGGTCCTCCACCACATATGCTGCATCCATTATGTCTTATACAGAAATGAAATTTCTCTAAATCACCTCCCAGTTTTGTTACATCATTTCTAAATGTTTGATCCTGACTTCTAGAGCAGTGTTGTAAAAGAACATTTACAGTAATTGAGGTACTGTTAAATGCTGTTAAATTAAATACTGCTGATAATTGTATATGTATTACACAACTAAACTTCTACATACATTTGTGAGCTAATAACACTTGTTATGAAGACTATATCAGTGTTCAAGCTAGATTTAGGAAAGGGCAGGGCACTGACAAAAAATCACATTTTATTTGCATGAAACATCTTTATATAAGGCATAAATGTTGGCTCCCAACTAACACAAATATTGTTATAGGTACAATTAGGGCATGGAGGACATTTCACTGGTCCTGTATTAAGGCACAACAAAATTTGTTACAAAATAAAGAGCAGAGCACCAATAAAAAGGTCAGGGTTTTATGTATGTTTTCCTTGCAAGCTATAAAACTGCACATTGCTTTTTATTTGGCAGAAGGCATGACCATTAAGTGGGATGATCTCTCAGACATTTGTACTACAGAAGAGGTGTTCTGTCAGACATTTGTACTACAGAAGGGGTGATCTCTCAGACATTTGTACTACAGAAGGGGTGATCTCTCAGACATTTGTACTACAGAAGGGGTGATCTCTTAGACATTTGTACTACAGAAGGGGTGTTCTGTCAGACATTTGTACTACAGAAGGGGTGATCTCTCAGACATTTGTACTACAGAAGGGGTGATCTCTCAGACATTTGAACTACAGAAGGGGTGATCTCTCAGATATTGTACTACAGAAGGGATGATCTCTCAGACATTGTACTACAGAAGGGGTGATCTCCTAAATACACGTTCTACCAGAGGGATGGTCTTTCAAACACATTTACTACAGAAGGGATGGTCTTTCAAACACATGTACAAGATTGTATTCTATTGTATATTGAATGCTACCTGCATTTTTTCTAGGTTGTGACGTCCATCTCCACAACCTTACCCTGGATGGCAGATTTTGGAATGTACCATGTGTACTCGACGAAAAGGTCAATAATTTGAAACCGCAATGCTGCAACATGGCCGTTGACATTTTGGAATGTGTATACCCAGAATTTGACAAACAGAAGGTCGAATGGGAATTAAATGACTTGTGTAACAAGTAAGTTATTGTTTTTAGCCAACCATCATCTGATGGTGGGCTATTCAAATCACCTTGGGTCCGTTGTCTGTCGTCCGCTTTCCGTCGTCCGTCCTCCGTCCTTGAACAATTCTTGTTATCAGTATATCTCGGGAAGTACCAGAGGGATTTTTCTTAAAATTTATATGTAGGTTCCCCTTGTTCCCTAGCTGTGCAGGGTAACTTTTGAGACTGGTCGGATAAACAACATGGCCGACAGGCAGCCATCTTAGATTTTGATAGTGAAAGTTTGTTATCGCTAAATCTTGGGAAGTACCAAAGGGATCTTTCTCAAATTTTATATGTAGGTTCCCCTTGGTCCCTAGCTGCGCAGGGCAACTTTTGAGACTGATCGGATAAACAACATGGCCGACATGCAGCCATCTTTGATTTTGATAGTGAAAGTTTGTTATCGCTAAATCTTGGGAAGTACGGGAAGGATCTTTCTCAAATTTTATATGTAGGTTCCCCTTGTTCCCTTGTTGTGCAGCAGTGCCTGAAATGGACGGTAGCCTGCTTACCAATGCCGGTAAAAGTCATGGTCGAGCGACCAAAAGTTGTCAAAAGTGAGATAGTCACTGGGCCAACAAAAATAGTTTGGGTGACTGTCGAAAAATTAATGAATAAAAGAAATTACAGTCCCTCCCACATTAACTGGAGGGCAGTACATTTTTCAGTTGTCATTACTTCGATTGGAAATGTGATGTTTTTTTTCTTCTGATTTTCTATATAAATACTGCCAGGGTGTCTTCTTTGAGGTGCAAGTTTTGTGTATTTCTTATTTGGAAGACCTGAATGGAATGGATCATGTCAGGTTTTAACTAGGGTTGAAGAATTAAAAATATTATATTTTATTCTGTTTTACATATAATTAACATTGTCATGTTATATGTAATTTAATTGTTCTGAAGCATTGTGTTAAATGCTGTGGAAATATTTCTTTCCAAAATTATTTGGGCATGAGGGATATTTCTCAAATTTGATATGTAGGTTCCCCTTGATCCCTCTTTGTGCATGTTTTATTTTGAGACTGATCATAAAAACAAAATGGTTAAAGGAAGAACTCAACAGATCTTTCTCATATTGCACTGATCGATTCTATTTCTTTCACATTAAGTACTGTACTAGTAAATATGAGAAATGACAAACTCACTATGAAGGTTGGCTTTCATACACATCAGTATTAAGTTTAGATCAATAGTTACCTCAAGGTGCATTTACTGTTAACATGACTTGATCAAACAAATTAGAGGATAGAAGAGAAAAGATCAAACTGACAAAGAACTAATGAAGATGGTACAATGGTGGGCGCCAAGATCCCTCTGGGATCTCTTGTTTAAGGATCCCTGTACCACTGCAAAAAAACTGACATTTTGCATTAAAATCTTTCCTGGTATGACTATAGTTTTGAAAATTATTTCTGAAAAGAAAAACATACCTTGGAGCAGGATATATTTTATGATGAAATATTAATGTTCTGATTGAAAAATTCAGCAGTCCTAGACCAGAATTTGAACTCAAACCTCAAATTGCTATACTGTCACTCTAAACAACTAAGCTTACTGGTCAAAGGAACTACCAAATCACACTAGTCATAGCCAGAAAAGAAATTAAGGGGAGGCTACTATGTATTCAAAAAACAACATTGGAATTGTCTGGTGTTTTGCTTCTAGTGAGACAGGGATCCTTAATTTCTTTGAATTTATTGAATGATACTTTGCTATTTTTTGTACAAAATTTCCTTATGAGTCTGTAGGTTAACTATATACAGTATTTCACTTAAATGCTCTGTTGTGAATCAAATTTCAGATCTCTTCTTGACTTTTCATTCATTCAAACTATATAGAAATAATGTTGTACAGTAGTCAAAACAAAATATAGTTATTTTAGATTAAAAAAATCAACTATTTTGGACACTATACCCAAGTTACACTGTTCTCTAGCAGCTTTTGTTTTTATTGGTTGTAGAGTGTAAAAATCAAGTAATGAGTAACTTAGTTTTACTTCAAGGGTAGTACCTAGGAGATATGTATTATTAGATCACTTTAATCACCAAATTTCTGCGAATTTTTTTTTTTTTCATCTGACTTTTCAAAACTGTTATTGGAATCTGTCCAACTTGGCCGAAGATTAAATGCATATTAACAATATTAATACATGTAATACCATAAACCACAACAATTTTTTTTATATATATTTTTGAGTTGTTTCCATTTTAATTATTTATCCTTTAATTTGTAACTATTATTTTGTTATATTCACATCAGGAACAATCCATTGATGGCAGTTTTATTTGAGCTGCTGAAGAACTATCCGTGCAATATTGGCCACGTTGTTCAGTGGTGTGTGGAGAAAGGGTACCCATCCGTGGTCCAGTATCTGGTCAGCGGGGAACATGAGAAGAAATGCTTATACTGTAGAAGCATGAAGATGGATGCACTGCAAATGGAGAAGGGAGATTTTTAAACGTGTGAATAGTCTTGTCATTTTGATTTCATTAGTTTCAGAACAACGCATGCAATTTTTATGTATGGATAAACAAATTACTGCAATTTTTAATAACATTATGATAAAATTATGTACAATCATGCATGTTTTATTAAGGAAACAGTTTTGCAGAAGTTTTACACAAGGACAAAACTGAAAGCTTAACCTGATAGGGATGTGATTCAGGAGTTGTTACCTGTGTTAGTTTGATAGTACAAAACTGTTTGTCTTAGTTACCAATTGTTCATATGTTGACTCATTAAATCTATATATTGTCTGTTTTTGACATCAGTCTTAAAAGATATTTTTGTAAGGAAACATTTTTTCAGATTCATTCCAGAAAGATTGGAACAACATTTTATGTAGAACTCGTATAACAAGAAAGGTTTGTCTGTGTACATCTGGTGGAGAGAAAGTTATTAATGTTTATCCTGATTTACCTCTAAAAACAGGTACCTTCCCCACGCCTTTCAAAGAAAAGAATCAGGATTATTTTCTGAAGTTTAAAAAAATTACTTATTTTCCAAATTCATGTTTGTAAAATTTAGGCTAAAAAATATTGTGTGAGGTGTTTTACAAAAAAAAAAAGTTATTTATTTTTCATATTGGTAAATATATACATACATATTCATAAACGCGTGGAATGTTTATGTGTGATATTGCAATGACTTGTATGATATGTACTCTGTCACCTTCACCAGCACTGATCAGGGCCCAGTTGTTCAAAAGGTGGTTAGCTTAATCACTGTTTAATGACATTTTTCAACCTTAAATAATTTCGTCAATATTCAAGGTAAAAACTTTTAATTTTGTATGTAAATTAACTCTACTAAATACTTGATATCTGAAAAGATGTAACTAATTCAATGGCTGTGTTTTAAAGATACACAAAAATTAAAATTTGCGCTAATCACTGATTAAGATAATCACCTTTTGAACAACTGGACCCAGGTGGTCGAGTGGCGCAGTAGATGGATTCACCAAGACAACCAGTGTTCCATTCATTAATCATACATGAACAGATATGGGGGTCACGTGCGCGACCATATGGGTTTTCTCTGGGTACTCTGGTTTCCTCCCACATTAAGACCCCCACAGCTTAACATCTGGGCCAGCAAGATTGATTGATATAAATTGATGTAACTTGTTTGTAAAATAACAATAGTTTTTACAGTAACATGCTAACGCTCCGTCAGGGAAGATCAACACAAATTATTGGAAAGATGGAGCAAAAACATCTAAACTCACTAGTTTATTTACCATGAAATAAGAGTAAATATACGAACGAATCTAGAGGTTGCTCCATCTTTGCTGATTTTAATGTACAAGTAAATCAAATCAAATGGACAAATTGATTCGGCTACACTTTGTTAAGTATCTATTCATAGATGTGTGAGAGTATTGGCCCCCTCATCTTGATTCAAAATTGGTTATTGTGGCATATCCAAATGACTTCCTTTACCTCTTGTACAGGTTGGTATTTCTGTCAGCTAATTTGGAGTTAACCCAGTCAATAACATGATTTGGGTGTGTGGCTCGATCTGTGATTGCTGTTTGTTGACATTGTTATCACTTAAGTATAAATGCTTAACTGTATCCCAATCAACTTGTCATTTTGATTGCCATTGTGTGCATTTTTAAACCCTTGGTGCTGTACTCGTCATTTGTTTTGTGAAGGTAATAGAGTACATAGTGTACTAGTCATTGAGCATCAGGAATAAACCTTTTACTAGTGGTGCTCATGAATACTAAAATCTGAACACTAAGAAGGGGACGGAGTAGGACTGTATATACTTTAGCAGGATAATGTATTTTTATATGTTTCTGTGATAAGGAGAGTGGAAAGCAGGGCATTAAACCCTGTCTGGGTTGTAGGACCAGTGTGCAATGTAATTTGTATCTGTTAATACCTTAAGGATGTTTTAATATCCGGAAGCTAATGTGCATGTCTAAGTAATGTCAATACCAAAAAGTATTTAAGGTAGATCAAGAGTCTCATTACTTTCTACTGTACACAGACACTGACATGTTTTCCCTAGTAAATTGGTTATTTGTTCTATATTCTAAGATTAAGGGCCTTTTTAGGTAATAGAAACATTTGAAATTATTTCCTGTAATGTTACAAAAACAAATTTTGACATATATAGTTAACATATATCATGTGGGCACAGTAGATTGGCCAGCTACATTTAGTTTCTATTAACAAGGTCTAGAGTTCAAACCCCTGTAGTAAAGCAGAGATGTTTAATGAGAAAGGAAAATGATCAAAAGATTTTTTTTCATATATAAACTCTTTTCTAAAGTAAAAGTGGCAAGCAGCTTCAAATCAGAATAATGCCCAACAAATTGGAACTCTTCTTCATTGAAAATACAATACAAAGCACTGGGACTCTCTTCCTTAAGACTAAGAGTAAAAGCAATGATGGAATTTCACAAATGTTATTTTAGTTCTGAATCTTCATGTATATAGTTAATAAATAGTCCCAGCTTTTTGAGGACTTCGGGGATCCCACACCATCTAGTTAATAAATAGTCCCAGCTTATAGAGCCTAGAAGACTTAGAGGCCCTGTGGTTACCACACTATCTAGTTAACAAAATAGTCCCAGCTTAGCGAGGACTTGGGGTCCCTGTGGTTACCACAATGTATCTACCACTCATAGAAAGGATTGTAAAATTATTGAGATAAACTGTTATCCTGAATGGTTGAATGGAATATGTATCTGAAGGTAACCAAGTCTTTGATCTGTCAGGAATTCCACAATATTTTTACTGTGATTTTGCTGTAAATAATATTTGAAGATACACATTATATCGTTGTATATGAAGTTTATTTTATTATTAAGTCTAAGATAAGCTTTATGTTTTACTGATTTCAATAGAAATGGAAGCAGAAATGTGATGATTGTTATAATGTTTGTTGTCTAGAAAATAAGTCCTATGCAGATATATGTTGATCTTTAACTCATTCATCCCTGAAGTTTCATAATGAACTATTCCAACCATTGAATTGGATGAGTTCAAATGTGTCTTCAGGGGTGAATGAGTTAATACCTTGATTTAACATGTACAGTCTACATGGGTAATCTGTTGATTTAACATTAACAATTTATGTCATACAGAGGACATTTTACTGTTGATATTTCATAAAGTTCACAATTATAACACCTAGATAGTAAAGCTGTGTTTAGAAGTGTACGGTTGTGTATGTACACAAATCATTGTGATACAGTGGCCCTACAATGAATATCATATGATATCCTATTTGCCAACGAAAAACATTGTAATAACCCAAGTAAACTTTGTTCCTAACATCACAAGTTCTCAACCAAAGTAACTTATAAATGTATTCCATGTAGATTTTACTTTTTTTAAAGCAATAATATGGATTTTTGACACGAATGTACATATTTGGAGTCCTCAGCAGTGTTTACCTTGAGTGTTATACTGGCCTCAGTGTGAAGACGGGTACATATTCAATGATCAGGTATGGATTACTCTGATGTAAAATGTCATTTTACTGTTTTCTCGACTGATCTTTCTGTGCATTGGTCTATTTGTTTGTCCGAAAAAGGGTCAAATCTGCTGACACCTGGAAAATATAGAGATTATTTATTAGAACTTTGTATGTTTTTGTTAAGTTAATCTTTACAGTAACATTGTCTGTTTGATATTACTTGGAATTCTGTTGTTATACCAAGTAAGATATGTCTGTTATGTTTTGCATTACTTCAGTAACAGCAATTTAACTGAGATTGGAAATGAAGTAATATTGATTGATCATGATTTGACAGATTTTTCACACACATGTTCATATAGGGAATAACTCTAAATGATTCACATACATACATATTTGGTTTCTTTGTATGGTTACAGTCTGGAACAAGACTTTGTCCCAGGTTTGAGATTATGCTATATAATATATACGGTAAGGACATGCTCAATGACAGAAAAATGGGGAGAGGGTGTTCAAAATCTTCCATGTTTTCCATATATCTATGATGAAGAATGTTTTGAAACTAAATATCCCAAATCTAGAATGAATCGAGTACACCTGTAGATGTTTATGATGAGTGTAATAGGCTTGGATAAGTAGTTTTGAGTTTATATCCATACTTGTAGACATCTAAAAGTCCCGTATCATCATCAGGTATTGACTCTGTAATATCAGGTCATAATGTGTTACAACATTTTTGGCATCATAACCAATGAGACATATTAAAGAATATACCTTTCTGCTACATTTTTTATTAACTAGTGGTGGTACAATGTATTAATACTATAAGTTAGCATCCCGGAAACCCCATGTAATATTGCCATGTAACTGCAAACATCTCTCATGGTGGTACATTGAAATATTGAAAGCGTCCTAGTCAGAAAGGGTGATATCTGGATGGTACCGTTGCTGAATATCCAGTGAAAACATTGGCCAAATCCTTATTTTAATGTGGTCATGAGATGATATATCTTATTCCGTCTTTGCGTATTGCAGAGTTATCTTCTCTTGGGAGCAGGTATTAATTGTTACGTCACTTGTTTGTGAGAAAACGACATAATTTTCTCACACAAACCAATGACGTAACAATAAATACCTGCTCCCAAGAGAAGATAACTCTGCAATACGCAAAGACGGAATATGGTCATGAGATTCTACATCAAGTTTGACTGGACAAAATCTGGCCAGTTGATGGGTATGCATATCTTTTCAAAATTAGCATAATGTAACAGATAGATGTTGAAGTTTATAGAGTTTAACTTTTGTATTTTTTTTTATCTAGACAGTAATTGTTATATACATCGAAGCATAATGACATTCTTTTACCGAGGCAGTTATTGAAAAGAACTTTTCTATCTTTCTTTTTATCCAACAGTTATTGTTGTTTACATGGAGACAGTGGAATGACATGCATCCTCACAATGTTTTGGAACCATGACTTTAAATACAATCACTAAAATGTTAGCCTATATTGTAGTTATTTGGATCACAACTAAACCCATATGCTGTGTACAAATTATAGTTTTTCTATGTAATATATCATTGATCATATTTTATGATTTTTGAACCTGTCTGCTGGTAGGAAATAACATAGGAAATTTGATACAAAACTTAAGAACTGATGACATTTATGAATCTCATTTTCTACGTCAGAGGAATGATGTAGGCAACAGCATGTCAGGATCAGCTTCTTTATGATGCTACATTATGGAATTTTCAAAAATTACTAAAATCATTTTGATTTTCATTTTATTAATCTCATTTTATCACATTAATCACAAAACTACATAGAACCAGAAATATAACAATCTTATGTTTAGGAACAGCAAACAAATATGGCATGGTTGTATTATGAGGTATCACTGAGGTGTCTGTAACGGTGTAACAGTACAGGTTTAGTGCTTATGAAATAACTGACACAAGTTTATGTGGTTATTTCTAAGCAATAAGAAAATATTTCTGGTTCTATAATAAATTTTACAAACTGCCAGTACTAACAGTTCTTTATCATATCCAGATTGTTCTACTTTTTTTACCTTTTTGCATTA